GGGAAGTCTGGGAGTCTCTGCTTAGTCTGCTGCCCCCGCGACCCGGTCCAGGATTAAGCGGGAGACGAGGAGTACAAGAACGGGTTCCTCAAAGCTCCATTTTGGGGCCCCTCCTATTCAATATCTAAATGCTCCTGTTGGCTCAGATTATAGATAACAACAAGATCAGTTACCATAACTATGCAGACAACACACAGCTTTACATCCCGATGTCACCAGGTGGCTATGAACCCATCAGAACGTTGGTTAGATGTTTTAAAGAGGAGAGAGAAGAGGAGTGGTGGCCTAGTGTTTATGGCATAGAGCTTGGAATCCTGAGGTTCTGAGGTCAAGCCCCAGTCCCACAGACTGTCATTTTGGAACACTGAGCAAGACCCTTAACCCCACACTGCTCCCAGGGTGCCGCACAACTGCAGCCCACTGCTCCCCAAGGGGATGGGTTAAATACAGAGGTGAATTTCTCCAATGTGGGATCAATAAAGTTAAGTCAATATGTAGATGTAGCATAAATTTCTACAACTGAATAAAAACTAAACTGAGGATATATTTTTAGATCCAGATCCAGAGTTAGTTCACAGCTTTAGCTGCTACAGCTAGAAAACACTGATTAAGGCCGACATCTTAATGTCATGATGGACTCAGACCTGAACCTTCAGAGCCTCATAAAGGCCGTTACTAAGTCAGCCTTTTATCACCTGGAGAACATCTCCAGGATTAAAGGACTAATGTCCAAGAAGGATCTAGAAAAACTCACTCATGTGTTTATCTTTAGTAGAATGGATCACTCCAACAGTGTCCAACTTTTATCTCCTCTTTCTTTCATCTTTTTTCCATTACTTTTCTGTTTTTCCTTTCCTGTTCTACTTACATTGCAGTATCCATATAATCTGTAAAACTCCCTGCATGAATTATACTAAAGCTATTTATATGCATAAAACAAGGGGAACACTATGGCGATAGCCATACTGCTCAACTTGTGAAAGTAAAATCCGTTGGGCTCTTTTTGGCATCAAGACAATTATTCTTATTGCCACATTGCCAGACAAGACACTGTAAAAAAAAAAAGAATAAAAAAATAGATTTAACTAATAGATTCTGCAGAGTGAAAGAATAGAAATAGAATGAAGCAGAATGATGAAAAAGGGGTCTCTATGTCCTCCAGCGGTCGAAGCCTATAGCAGCATAACTACAGATATAGCCCAGAATAACCTGAGCCACTCTAACTATAAGCTTTATCAAAAAGGAAAGTTTTTGATCAACCACATATAGCTTGTAGCGATGGAAGAGCCAGACTGCTGAGAGCGAAGCATCACTGTGGAGCACAAGGGCAGACCCAGAGTTAAGCTTGTGCATTTCTGTACAAGCTTAGCTGGAAACGCAGTGTTTGTCAGAGTTCATCTCGCAGTACCGGATGATTGCAGCTTATTTTCACCTTTGCCGCTGCTGCCATGGTCCATCTGTGGTTTTGCAGAATGCGTAGTGTTGCACGCCAGCTGGGCGGCATGACCAAACAGGAAGCAGCAGCACGGCTGATGCTGCTTTGCAGTTTACAGCACAATGATGGA